TCAACGTTTTTATTTTTGGGACAGAGAGAGACAGAGCATGAACGGGGGAGGGGCAGAGCGAGAGGGAGACACAGAATCGGAAACAGGCTCCAGGCTCTTCTGAGCCATCAGCCCAGAGCCCGACGCGGGGCTCGAACTCACGGACCGCGAGATCGTGACCTGGCTGAAGTCGGACGCTTAACCGACTGCGCCACCCAGGCGCCCCCCAAGGGCATTTCTAAAGATAACAGTCCCAGGCCTGCTGTGTTGCCTTTTCTGCACTGTGTCTAAATTTGCTCTTGCTTTTTTTGCTCTGAATTTATTAGATGTTCAAATTTGTGTCACGTGATTTGAGGTGTTGGCAAGATGAGCCTGGGTCTGCTGTTATTTAGAGAGAAACCCTCCTCTGGATTGATGGGGGTTTTGCTTTCCGGACGTTGTTTTGCTTTGGCCATGCTGCCTGCCTGCAGCTTGTGTTTCTGCCAATAGGGCAAGTTCACCGCTTGCCTCTGTCCTTTTATCAAGGTAATTCTCGTTACCACCACTACCCAGCTCTGGTTGTTAGACCTTCCTGTCCTGGCAGCATTTTCTTTTCTTGGTTCCCAGGCATGCTCTGGGGCAGGGCAGTACTGATGCTGCCTGCCTACAGGTCCCACAGGCTCAGACTTGCAGCCCCTTTATGAAGCTTTCCCAGGAAGAGAACGTAGGTGCTATTGTAATTAACTTCCATTTAAAACCTGTCTTATAATTTTTATAAGTGTTCTTAGGAAATCTTGGCTCAGGGATTTGAACCTCTTTGCCTTTGAGTTTTGCTTTTCTGTTACTTTTCCTCTCTGGTTTTCAGCTTTGAATTTTTAGTTGCCTAGTTTAAAAAAATCTCACATCATGATGGTAGTTTAGAACTGTTTCTTCCTGTCATCTCTGGGCAGGTTCATTTCAGCTAACCTGTCCCTCCCCTACTCACTGTTGGCTTACAGAAGTTCTAAAGTAGTGGCCCTGCAGGGGTCTTCTCAGACCCTGAGGGGCATGTCAGTTGTGCTGGTGTCCTGTATCATTTATATTTGTCTTATAGGCCATGGTCCTCTTACTTATGGCTTGAACTGAGTACAATGCCTACCTGTAATGTGACCCAATGACCTATTTTTAGCCACACTACCTACTCCACAGTCCTTGCCAAAGCTGTTGGCAAATTGTGATGGAATTGGGATTGACTTGTCACTGAATATAGCTGAACGAACCTGGCTCCAGGTGAACTTTGAGCAGCTTCACTAAATGTGCCCCTCGGGACTTAGCCAAGGTGGGATGGGGCAGGGAGGGAAATTGCCCTCCTAAGTTGGCTGACCACCAAAGACCTACTTTCATGGGAACCATGTCACTAAATAGCCCTTGGAAACTTTTTGCTACAGTTATTCAAGTCTTCCTGTTACTGAGCTAAGGACGCAGAAGAGATGAGCTAAGTGGTCAAGCTACACAGGATATGCTCCAATTTTAAGGAAAAAAGATGGTGGATGGGGAGTAAGCGCTCTGTGAGTGGGCTCTTGAGCACATGGAATACGGCTAGTGCAACTAAAGAACTGAATTTTGAACTTTAGTCCATTTCAGTTAAATACCATATGTGGCTAGTGGCTCCCTGTTGGACAGTACTGTTCAGGGAAGTGATTAGAGTGTGGCCTTCAGAGCCTTGATTCAGATCCCAGCTCTGCTGCCTACCTGTTGTGTGACAGTGCACATACTTCTTATAAGGTGGTTTTGAGAATTTGTCCATCCACATAAAGGCTTTAGAGCAGTGCCTGGCAAGAGGTATGTGTTTAGTTGATACTGGCTTATTATTACGTTCACTTGGTATTTTGAATGGAATGGTGGCAGAGTTCGTATGGAATATGAAACTCTACTATTTTTATTCTTTTATGTTTTCTTTCTTTTTTTTGCTCTAGGTTGCTGCAGCAACTGGCCACACGGTAATGTTGGTGGACCAGACAGAGGACATACTAGCAAAATCTAGAAAGGGGATTGAGGAAAGCCTTAGGAAAGTGGCCAAGAAGAAGTTTGCAGAAAACCCCAAGGTAATTTTTGTTTTATGTGATTTCAAGACCATTCCTCTGACCATATCACATTTGGTGGCCTTTGCTTCTTTTTCGATTTGTTGTGTAAAGCTCATTTTCCCATAACTTTAGACCAGTGTAAGTAACATCATCACTGTACATACTAACTGTAAGAACTGATTACAAAACAGGAGAAGTAGATAACCATATTGTTGGGTTTTGAGGTGAGGGAGAAGGTTTCTGCAGGTAGTGAACTCATTCTGTCCATTGAGAACTTGGGCTTAAGGAACACCTGTTTTGTTATACTGATGGAAAAGAGTGAAACAGGAAGGTAATTTTTGTACTTGTAAGTTTAAAAGAAAATGATATAATAAACATTGTATTCAGATAGAAAATTTTGATTGCTTAAACAATGTCTTATGCCCTTTTATAATGTCTTACCAGAGAGGAAAATACAGAATGTTCTCACTTCCCAGCAGCAGAGGGGGTGCAAGAACCTGAGGAACCCTAGAAGGCTGGAAACTGGTTCACTGACTCGTTTTCTTTGGACCTTCACATTTAATTAGAAATACTGTGGAAGTCACCAAGTGAATTTTTGTTTACGCTTGTCACCTTGTTAAAGTTGCTTAAGATTGGTTCCCTTGGGGCTTGGATGGAATTTCACTTTCATACACAGGCAGAGAAGAGTGCAGGTAGGGATTTTGTTCTTTTTGTCACCTCAGGTGTCCATAGTGTATGTCTAGTTGCCTTTTCAAAAAAATTATTTATTAAAAAAAAAAATTTTTTTTAAACGTTTAATCATTACTGAGAGATAGAGACAGAGCCTGAGCAGGGGAGGGGCTGAGATAAGGGGAGACACAGAATCCGAAGCAGGCTCCAGGCTCTGAGCTGTCAGCACAGAGCCCGACGAGGGGCTCGAACTCACAAACTGTGAGATCATGACCTGAGCCGAAGTCAGACGCTTAACCAACTGAGCCACCCAGGCACCCCTCAAAAATTTTTTTTAAAGTTTATTTATTTTGAGAGAGAGAGAGTGAGCATGAGCAGGGAAGGGGCAGAGAGAGAGGGAGAGAGAAAAATCCCGATCAGGGTCCACGCTGCCAGCACAGAGCCCAACATCAGACTCATGAACTGTGAGATCATGACCTGAGGAGAAATCAAGAGTCAGATGTTCAACTAAGTGAGCCACTCCAGCACCCCACCTTTTGAAATTCTTTATTATAAAAGAATATATATGCCATTTTAGCTATTTTTTATTAGATTTTATTATTTTATTATTGTATTTTTATTGTATTTTATTATAATAGAAAAATATGCCATTTTAGCTATTTTTAAGGGTAGAATTTGGTGACTTTAATTACATTCACACTATTGTGCAGCCATCACAACTCTTTACAAAACTTTCATCTTTCCAAAGAGAAACTCTGTACCCATTAAGCAATAACTCCTCATTCCCTCCTTCTCCCATCTCCCAGTGATCACTAATTTGCTTTCTGTCTCTCTGAATTTGCCTGTTCTAGGGACCTCCGGTAAGTGGAATCATATGCTTTTTGTCCTTTTTTGACTTGATTTATTTCATCTGTCTTCAAGATTCATCCAGGTTGTAGCATGTGTCTGACCTCCACTCTTTATCATGCTTGAATAATACTCCATTGTATGTCTATATACCACATATTGTTTATCCATTCCTGTCAGTGACCCTTGGGTTGTTCTCACCTTTGGACCATTGTGATGAATAATGCTGCAGTGAACATTGATATACTATCTGTTCAGGTCCTTCTTTAATTCATTCACATATGTACCAGAAGTAGAATATCTGGGTCATATGACAGTCCTGTGTTTGGCTTTTTAAGGAACCACCAAACTGTTTTCCACGGTGGCTAAACCATTTTACATTCCTACAAGCAGTGTATGAAGGTTCCAGTTTCTCCACATCCTGGCCAACACTTGCTTTTTATTTTTTTCATAATAGCCATCATGGGAGGTATGAAGTGGTATCTCACTGTGGTTTTGGTTTGCATTTTCTTTTTCTTTTTCTTTTTTAAGTTTATGTATTTGAGAGAAAGAGAGAGAGAGAGAGCATGAGCAGTGGAGGAACAGAGGGAGAGAAAGAGAGAATCCCAAGTAAGCTCCATACTGTCAGTACAGAGCCCAATGCAGGGCTTGAATTCATGAACCGCAAGACTATGACCTGAGCCGAGATCAGAGTCAGATGCTTAACTGACTCAGATGCCCAGATGCCCCGCTTTGCATTTTCTTAATATGTAGTCACCTTTTAAAAATCAGAGGGGCAGGAATGGAGATAATTTTTACTTTCTCCCTAAAGAAATCCAAGCAATAAGTATCACAGGCAGATTAACAACTGGCATCTGTCCCCCAAATTCTTTTTTTTTTTAAGTTTATTTATGTATTTTGAGAGAGAGAGAGAGTGAGCAGGGGAGGGGCAGAGAGAGAGGGAGAGAGAGAATCCAAAGCAGACTCTGCGCTGTCAGTGTGGAGCCCAGTGAGGGGCTGGAACTCACTAACCGTGAGATCATGACTGGAGCTGAAACCGAGTCAGATGCTTAACTGACTGAGCCACCCAGGCACCCCTGTCCCCCATATTCTTAATGATAGGGGGACCTGGGATAGGGCATATTGTGATGAGGGTGATGAGGGTCCAGATGGGGCCAGGGGCAGGGGGGTGTTGCTAAGAGCCCTGGAAGTTGGAGTCAAGGACAGAGTGAGTCTGAACCCAGGTCATCTGCATTTTTCATTTGTTTATTCTGTACACATCTGCTGCTTGTCTCCTTTGAGCAGAGGCTCTGGGCCCTGCTTGAAGGATTAAAAAAAAAAAAAAAAAAAAAAGTGGGTGGTGTGCTCCAGATGCACAGCTCCAGATGAGTGACTCCTTGGGAGTCTGGTGTCTTGGTGTTTCTCATCTGTGCCTGGGATGTGCTTGGAGGAGGGACGAGTCAGCTTCAGCTTGCCTCCTTGACACACTGCATGCACTTTGTTCTGCACAGACCACATCAGCCACTTGCTACAGGCGGCTGTGGAGAGCTCAACATGGGGCTGGTCCAAGTCGAGTCACATGCTGCATGTGAAGACAGACAACAGATTTCAAAGACTTAATAGGAAGGACGAATGTAAAATGTCACACTGCTTTTTTTTTTTTTTTTTAAGTTTATGTATTTTGAGAGAGAGCAGGGGAGGGGCAGAGAGAGAGGCAGACAGAGAGAATCTCAAGCAAGCTCCGCACCAGCAGCGTAGAGCCCGATGTGGAGCCATCAGGTGATGGCTTGATGCGGGGCTCAAACTCATGAACTGTGAGATCATGACCTGAGCCTAAATCAAGAGTCAGACACTTAACCAACTGAGCCACCCAGGCGCCCCAAACATCTCATTGCTTTTTATATTGATTACATGTTCAAATGATAGTATCTTAGATGGATTGGGTTAGATAAAACTAATTTTACCTGTTCAGTTTTTAAAATGCAGCCAATAGAAAATTTAAAATCACTTTTTATCTCACATTATATTTCTGTGGAAGAGCTCTGATAGTTGTTTTGTTCCATGATGGTTTTGGATGGCTTTGCTGATTATGACCACGTTGCTGAATATGTTCCCAGGCTGACAATACCCCATGGACAAATTACATCCTGAAATAAAATGGCACTTGTTAGAGGTGTTGTCTTCTTCCTTTTTTTTTTTTTTTTTTTTACAAAGGATTTCTCTGTATTATTTCTCAGGTATGCATGAGTCTACATTTAGCTCAGGAAATTTCTCACTTAAAAATGTCATGGGGGAGAAAAAAACAATATAAGCAGACCATTTAAAACTAAGAGATAAAACAGCCAAATGAAATGTGTAAACTTTGACTACATCTTGAGAGACAACTGGGGAAGTTCGAGAATGCACTATTTTCCGGCTATTTCAATGAGACTATGCTATGTAAACAAATGTTCTTATTTTTGGAAGATGCATGTGTACTTATTCTGGTGAAGTGACATGATGTTAGCAATTTACTTTCTAAAGATTTAGCAAGAAAACAAGGGTGTGTAAAGAAAGATAAAACAAATGAGCAAATGTGGCAAAATTTTAACAATTATTAAATCTAGGTTGATTTACATTACAGTTGCTACTATTACACTAGTCTTTCAACATTTTTACATTTGATAGTTTCCAAATAAAAAGCTCCCAGAGCTCACTCATTCATATGGTCTTTTCTTTGTCCCCCATCTCCACCAGTAGAAATCCATCCATCCTATAAAGGATATGCCCACACCCAACTTTACCCACAATACTTTCCTAGATTCTTTAACTCCTGTGCCTACACATGACTTCTGACTAGATTATGAGCCTCTAGAAAGCAGGTACTATGTTTTATTCATTTTCTCATTTTTTTGTCCTCTCACAGATCTAGCAATTTGATTGAAATCACATCATCTATCACAATCCAAGCTTTATGTGGGCCAGAGGTCTCAAGTGCTGGCTAGTCTACTAGCTATATCACAATCCCTGGGGCATCTTTTTCTAAAAAACAGTTTTCCAGGTACCACCTCAGACCTATTGAATCTGAATCTCGGAGCTGGGCCTAGGAGTCTATGTTTTGTTCTGCTCTTGGGGAGTGGAGAGAGGCTGATACTAATTACTGAATATATTTAGAGGTGCTGTCTTCTGCCCTGACGTATGTCTGTGGAAATCTGGAGTCACAGATGAGACAAAGGTGGGACTGCAAGCTTTCCGCAAGCGGAGGCTGTGTCTGGCATGTTTTTGCAACACCAGTTGCTGGTTTGTGATGGGCAATTATTACTTGAAGAAGGATTGCTAAGTTTGGCTTTCTTACCCTCTCTTGCCCTCACTCAGCTCTTCTCTGCCTTCTTTTAAAAAAAATTTTTTTTTAATGTTTAATTTTGAGAGAGATGCACACAGAGTGCCAGCAGGAGAGGGACAGAGAGAGAGGGAGACACAGAATCTGAAGCAGGCTCCAGGCTCCGAGCTGTCAGCACAGAGCCTGATGGGGAGCTTGAACTCACAAACCGTGAGATCATGACCTGAGCCAAAGTCAGATACTTAATCGACAGAGCCACCCAGGCGCCCTGTTTGCCTTCTCTTAGAGATGAATAGTCAGGGGCACCTGGGTGGCTCAGTCGGTTAAGCATCTGACTTCAGCTCAGGTCATGATCTCACGGTTTGTGAGTTGACCCCTGCATTGGGTGATCACGAGCCCGACTTCTCTCTGTCTCTCTTTCTCTCTCTCTCCCCGTCTCTGTCTCTGTCTCTGTCTTTGTCTCTCTCTCTCTGCCCCTCCTGGGATATTCTGTCTCTCTGCCCCTCTTTCACCTGTGCCTTTCTCTCTTCATGGTGGGGAAAAAAAAAAAAAAAAGAATAGTCAGCATCACCTCTCAGACTAATGAATGTTGCTGAGCTAAGCTGTTACTCCTTTCCAGGCTCCCTGGAAGCCTGTTCCTGGAACAGTGCATGGCAGTCTGCTCACTCACTGAACAGGTAGAGAGCAGGCCGATGCAGGTGCTGCAGGTGGACCATTTAGTAACTGGAGCAGAGCTGACAAAGAGTGAAGGATTATGACCTGTACACGATAGTGATAGCTGACCAGCAGTTGGGACGTTCCCAGGCTGACTGTTGCCCTGGTGTCTAGAAGCATACTGAGATGCCATCGTCCCTAAACGGAAAAGTAGGGAGTTTTATTTCTTAGAATTCAGGATACATTCCAGTTGCCTCTGGGGCCTGTTTGCCTGTCCTCGCCCTCCTCTCTCCTGCCTCAGCAAATCACAGCATTTTCTGGTGAGTCTGGTGAATACTCTCTTCTCCTTTCTTCCACTGTGTCAGGCGGGTGATGAATTTGTGGAGAAGACCCTGAACAGCATATCAACCAGCACGGATGCAGCATCTGTGGTCCACAGCACAGACCTGGTGGTGGAGGCTATCGTGGAAAACCTGAAGGTGAAGAACGAGCTCTTCAAGAGGCTGGACAAGTTTGCCTCTGAGTATGTGACCCTTGGGCATTCTTGTTGGTTTAAGGGCTCCCTTCCCTGGCTTGGGCTTTTCTCCCAGGAGGGAGTCTTTTGACACCAAGCCCACTTCTCTTTTTAATATCACATAGCTGTTTCTAGAAGACCTGACACTGTTTCCCCTGTTCTCCATCCTCCCTGTCTGCTTCCCAAGGCTTGAGCTGCCTCCGTCTGATCCTTGTCCCAAAATGAGGGTGGAATTTCCCACAGGAAAGTGGAGGGTCCATTCAGAGACAGTCCTCTGCCTGGGCCCTCCCAGGCCAGAGGACAAAGAGCTTGGGCATGTCCTCAGATGTCTGCTGAGGAAACTCACAGTAGTTTCATGACAAAATTACTTTTTTTGAGGACAACCTTCAGAATGGTGTAGTGTTTTTTTTTTTTTTTTTTTTAATGTTTATGTTTGAGGGATACAACATGAACAGGGGAGGAGCAGAGAGATAGGGAGACACAGAATCAGAAGCAGGCTCCAGGCTCTGAGCTGGCAGCACAGAGCCCGACGTGGGGCTCAAACCCACAAACTGCGAGATCATGACCTGAGCCGAAGTCAGACGCTTAACCAACTGAGCCACCGAGGTGCCCCAGAATGGTGTAGTTGAAGGGAATGCCTCTCTGTCTACACAAAGTTCCCTGGGCTCTCCTGTTTTGAGCTTTATCTGGATTAAGTCAAAACACTTGGGAGCATTACGGGAGCATTGAGTTCTTCCCAGACTTCCTGGCAAAGGGTGGGAGAGGCGAGTCAGCCCCACGTAGGTGAGGCGTACGGGCGCCTGGGGCTCAGAACTGGCGGTCTGAACGAGTGTCAGCAAGCTTTTGCGCGTGTGCAGCTCTCGTTCTCAGAATTTGGGACCTTCAGTTGTATTTGACTTTTGGCTTTTGGCAGTTGTGACTCCTGGCTGATTTATTCACACTCTCCTTGGGGCTTGCTTAGCCACACTTCACCTTTCCTGGTTAGAACTGAAAGTCAGAATAAGATTATATGACAAAAGCAATTCTTAGGCTGCCAGCGAGCAGCAGTTACAGAGAAACATTGGCATCCCAGCCTGCTGGAACGTGAGCCCTCTTAGCTGTATGGCCTGGTATCCGGAGAAGCCCTGCTTTTGACAAAGAGGAGACACCTGTCTTTCTGTCACCTTTGTATCACTCTGCTGATCAGTGTGCTCTTTCTCTTCACATTGACATTTAGGGTCTGCAAAAACAGAAAATTCTTTGGTCCAGATATTGGCTCCCAAGTGAGCAGGGAGCCCTCTAAGGTAATAAACCACCTCCCACCCCAGGAAAGGTGTAGTCTAGAAGTTCGGCCTTTATTTAAATGATGGTCATTCTTTCGTGACAGTGACGGGTCTGACTGCCCTCTCATGTCAGTGTGAGTAATGGAAGGACTGTTAGGGGAAAGGTAGGTGGCCTGGGGCCGTGTCTCTCTCCCCCCCCCCCCCCCCCCCCCCCCACTTTCCTTTCTGACCTTGGACGGTCATGAAGTCTTTCTGGCCCTCAGTTTTTATCATCTGTAATTGGAATGGGGTGTTAGGGGTAAATAGTTTCCAAGACCTTCCCAGTTCTAACCCTCTTAAGACTAGTTTCCCTAGTAATCTGCAAAATAGGGGTCATGGTACCTATTGCACAGGGTTGTTGAGGATACTAATCAATTGGACTCACATTTCCTGAGTGCCCGCTGTGTGTCAGGCACTGTACTAGGCTCTCTCACTTAGGTTGATGTAAAACAGATGTGGCATGCGACAGGGCACACCAGAGTAGGCACGCCATGGATGTGACTCTGCTTCTGGACACCAGCTGTCCTTCTCTACACTCTTGTTTTCATTTTAGACCACCTTTATTGAATACCTCCTAAGTTTTGTTTTTGTTTTTTTAGGCAGCTTGATTGAGATATACTTTCCTGTTAAGTTTTAGTTAATCCTGTAGCAGGAGTTTAGAATATGTTCTAGCATCAGAGTTCCAGGTGGAAGCCCTGATGCACCCTGGAAAAGAACATCACTTCCCTAACTGCAGTACAGAAAGTACCGATGAAAAGTTTGGCCAGAGCCCACGGTCGGTCCCAGCTGAGTCCTGTCTTTCCACTTCCAACAAAGTATGAACTCTCCAGTCCACCTCAGCGCCCCCCACCCCCTCTTGCATTCTCCGTACTAAGGCTTGGAGGCGTTGCTAATGATCATCATGTTTGCTACTGATTTTCTGTTAAGTACATTTAAGAGAAAAGTAGTTTTTTGGGTACCTGAGTGTTAGGGAAAAACCAAAGACTGTCCAAGAGTCAAGTGTTTCAGGGAAAATGGTGAGGGTGTGCTTTTTTGTGGAAGATAAGGCAACCCTGTATGTTTAATCTGTCCACACACAGTATTTGTGTGGAAGGAGGGCAGTGTGAGAGCTGATAGGAGCAGAGCTGGCCCAGCCCTACTGGGAGAGGTGTGTGAGGAAGAGGTGTCTTCCCCTTCTGGTCAAATACATGCTGGGAGAGCCTTGGATGGGAGACACCCGGGACTGGGCTCCTTTAATGAAATGTGCCCTCCAGTATGCCTTCATTTCTCCCTTTTGCAGACAAGTTGCTCTTCAAGTCGTGCTATAAACAGGTTCCGCATTATGAGGATAACAGCCCCTGCTAGCACAGCCTTGGATTGCGGTGGCCCTGCTGCTGTGGTTCCTGATGTGCAGCCTAACAGTGCTGCAGTGCAGCCACACTCATGTTTCTTCTCCTGTCCCCTCCTCTCCCATTCACCTCTGATTTCAAGCAGATTTAGTTTTGCCTTTTGGGTAGGCTACACTGCCCACCCCACCCCCCCACCCCCACCCCAGTCTGGTCAGTAAGGGACCCCTCTCCTTCATGCACTGACCAGGCCATTATGGTTCTAAATAGTATTAGGTGGTTCTATGTATGTTTACCCACAAGGTGGTGCTGTAGGAAAGCCTAGAAGTCTTTGTTTGAAGATTTGCCTGTAATACCTTTGGCACCCCACTTTACTGTGGTCTTTAAAAACTGAATTTGGTTTAAATAAATATGGATTCTTAAAAATTAATATTATACAACACACAAAAAAGATGGTACTGCTGTTTGAGGAGATTTTATAAGCACAATACTTAGAACTATGTTTACAATGTACATGTCTTCTTCCTTCCCCAGACCTACCCATGTAACTTTAAAACATTTTTTGGACCATGTTGGTTTTCTTCTGTTTGCATTTTTAATTCCCTTTAAGTGGAAAATTAAAACTTTTAACTTGAGGGGAAAAGATCTTAGTTAATGTTTCTCATCTGTTTCATCTGATGTTTCTCATTGAGGATTCAGGTGTTTCTTTACAATTTTTTTGTTTATTTTGAGAGTCTGTGATGCATCCTTTCTTTTATTAGTCTGTGCTCATTTAGGTTTCATTTTGTGACTGAGGTTAAGTAGTAGCCTCCTTTTTTCCTACGTATCATGAAAATTAACTAGTGAAAGTAGAGAAATGTTTCTCCCTAAAATTAATGAAAGATTGGTAAAGACTAGATATACCTTTGGAACAGGTAGCTTTTAAATTACCTAATTTAAAATTTCAGAATTTGAATGAAACTGGTCACTTGATTTCAGCTTCCTGGATAAAGATCTCTTCTCCCTGACTTCCTCCAGGGATCAGGACGATAGATCGGGGCAGCAGGCAGTCGCCTTGTGCAGTCGCACCCAGAGCAGTCCTCTTTGTTTCCAGAGATGGGACTCATTCCGACACTCCGCCATCTTTCTCTCCACAGACACACAATCTTTGCCAGCAACACTTCCTCTCTGCACATCACAGACATAGCCAATGCCACCACAAGACAGGACCGATTCGCCGGGCTCCATTTCTTCAACCCAGTGCCCATGATGAAGCTTGTGGAGGTCAGTGGGCTCACGCATGTCTGCTGGCTCTGCTGGCTCTCCCAGCCCTGCTCTCTGCCCCATACCCTGGCTGCTACCGGTGATTGCTCTGGGTGGATATGAACGGGAGGGCGGAAGATGGTCTTTGTGCTTGAGTTTCTCTGGCCGCAGTCTGTCCTTCCAGAGCCAGAAGAGGAAAGAGCACCTAATATCTAGGAAGGCTGTTGTGCTTTGTTCCTTTGCAGCCCGGTGTTCTGACCAGTGATGGCCAGAAGGGCTGCTAGCTTTGTGAAGTGTCATGTACTTACTTGCGCCGTATTTGATGGGTAGTGCAGAGAGAGGCATCTGGCTGGGAAGACAGCACCAAAGACCACTGGCTTGATGAGACCACAGAGAGCAGAGCCACATGTGTTTATACTGTCTCAGTGGGGTCAGTTTGCTCCAGGCTGTAAATGGAATTTTATTAGCCTGGTTTTACACAGGAGCTGCTGTACCACCTTGTCCACCATTCCTGAGGTGAATTCTGGCCCAGGTAACAGGGCCTTGGTATTGTCCTCAGATGAGGCACACCTCCCATGTGTTTTGATCACAGCTATTAAAGCAGCTCCCCGGTAGCCTGAACCTCCTGACCACAGACCCTTGAGATGGAGGGGAGTGGGCCCTCAGTGATCCTGTTTGGGCTGCTTCTGCTTGTTTGCCTGGAGACTTGGGTACCTGGAGACAAGTCACAATAGACACTTTGCACCTGAAATGTGGCAGCTTGCCTTTTACAGGGGGCTAATTACAGGGTCTGAGGAGCAGCGCTATTAAGCATTTGTTCTGAGGCTGAAGAGTTATTGTCCGTGAGAAGTGTGGGGGATGTGGAGCCAGGCAGACCTGGGTGGGGGGAGGTTTACGGGGCTCCCTGGGAGAGTCTCAGGGTCTGCTTTCTCCTCCCAGTGCTTTCCCTCCTTCATCCTGCATGCCCCCAACCCCACCCCTCATAAGCTTTTGCCTCTAGTTGAGTGATGACTATAGATTTCCTTGTGGTTAGACAGCTCTTGACCCATCTGCGATAGGAATTTATCCGTTCTGCTAACGTTGCTTCTCAGCTTCTTCCAGTGTACTCCCACTTTGGCTGTTTTTGAAGAAGTTAAGGATTGGAGGGGAGGGGGGAATGAAAGAAACTTCGTTTATCCTTATGCAGAAAAGAGCAAAGAGACAGAATGGATTTTCAACATTTCAGTGCTTAGGATCTAATTACTGTCTTTAGTTACTGTATCAGTACATGTGTTTTGGAGATAAAGACACATTTTATAGATTTATTCAAACAGTAATAATGCTGTTTTCAACTGCATTTATCTAATGTCCATCTATGTATTTGGAAATGTAGCACGTTGGTTGTTAACAGCCAATGCTTAGCAAATGTTACCATTTTCTAGAAAATGTTTTCTAAAAGTGCTCTTTATTCATTTTTTTATTCTTGGGTGTTTGCATATGTGTTGCTGATGGTGAGCATGAAAATGAATCATATCCTGAGTTGAGCAGCTCTTCGTTACTTGGGACCGGACTCATATATGTGTGTATATATTTTTTCCAGTCTATATTGGAACTATAAGCAGAATATCTATAGCACATTGCTGTTTGTTGAATGGGTGGTTAAATATGCATCCTCCTTTTAAACCGACAAATTATGTTTGAAACTCTATAATTAGCAACCTTTGTCCTAGTTCAATCTATGGGGTTCTGTTGGAGACCTTTTCACACTTCCTTTTGAATAACTCTTGGTGCTGTTTGATTTATGGTGTTTGCAGAGCAGACCTCTGGCCCATCTCATCCCATCCCTCCTCCCCATCTTCGTGGTGCTTTTTTCTGTGCTACTCCTTTACTTCCCTTAGTGTCCTAACATACCACCACACCCCAAGCTGTGATCACATTAAACGTGGACGATGATGATTCTCTTCATTTGTGGAACACCTTTCATCCTGCACAGATACTAGCTCATTAAGCCACACAGCCCTCTTACAAGATGGATGATGTGTCAAGTATCATTACCCCGTTGCATAGTAGAGAGGTGAGGCGCGGGGGCTGACGGAGTTGTCTGACCTCATATAAAGGGTCTAATGTAGAAGCCAAGCCTGTTTGCTTTGACTCTTGTTGAAGTTCCTTAACTGGCATGTAAATAAATTAACCTGGGTCTCTCTCTGTTTGCCAAAATCTAGTTCCTGACAGGTGAATTCTCTAAATGTGTCCTGGGGGTTGACTGCCCGGCATGGTGCTTGGTGCCACCTCCTGGAGGGCCAGGCCACTGTGAGTGGGGTGGTGGTCGTACCCCTGGCACGGCACCTCATGGGCCCAGGGCCTATCAGGAGGCAGGCCCAGCTTTGGGCCCCTGTTTGCTGGAAATGAAGACTTCCCTCTGTGGGATGAGCCTGTTCTGATGTGAAAGAAGCCAGTGGGCTTTGGGGTGCCTGTGGGAGAGGGTGGACTGCTGGTGGGGGGGATGCTCATCTTAGAGTCAGAGAGACCTGTGACTGTGCTCTCCTGGGGCAGGGGCACACCCTCCTCATCCAGACTAAGAGAAAGTGGTACTCCAGGCAGAGTACTTTAAGGGCAGTTCTCATATTCCGGAGACTTCTGCCTACCTCCCTGAAGTAACCGACAGTAGCAATTAAAAGAGTAACAAAAGCCAGCATTTACTGAGCACTTTATACCTCCTAGGAGCTGCACTTAATGCTTTTCCTCCTAATCTAATTCCATTGTCGCCTGACCTCAACTCCTTTAGCTCATAGAGTGAATTCAGTGTCCTTTCAAGAAATTTGCCCAGGGTCACAGAGCCAGTATGGTGTGATGGGGATTCGAACCCAGGTCTTTCACAGGGACAAAGTCTGTAAAACTCTCCTACACACATACACATTTATATTTTTGTTTAAAAAAAATTTTTTTTTAATGTTTTATTTTTATTTTTGACAGGGGGGTGGGCAGAGAGAGAGGGAGACAGAGGATCCAAAGCAGGCTCTGCACAGTCAGCAGGGAGCCCAATGTGGGGTTCGAACTCATGAACTACGAGATCATGACCTGAGCTGAAGTTGGATGCTTAATTGAGCCACCTGGGCGCCCCTACACATATATATTTTAAGCCTTGATTTTGTACATTCTGTGTGGTACTTCACTGTCTTAAGGTGAACATTTTGCTAAACTCTTTGTTTCTGACTTGAGATCCTTCTGTTCTGTAACTCAAATTACTTTGCCACCTTGTGTGTAGACATTTAACATCAATGTCTCCCTGAGTCGTTCTACTGCAGTTGTTTGCTAACTTTCTGGTCATAATTCTCTGCTTTGCATTTCTAGGTCATAAAGACACCAATGACCAGCCAGAAGACAGTTGAGTCTCTGATAGACTTCAGCAAAGCCCTGGGAAAGCATCCTGTTTCTTGTAAGGTAGGGTATAGGTACCTTGGGAAGGGGGATGGTTTTCCTCAGAACTGACTTATTGGGGTGGAATTCTTCTGTAGAAAGATGTGAAAGCTGGGGAACTCTTAACGACAGGTCTGTCTGTGGGCTGCAGAGAGCAAGCTGGGGCTCTTTTCTAGTTTGCCAGCAGCGGAGCCAGACTCCTAAGCCTTGCCCAAGGCCATGAGGTAGATAGTTTGAGGTCTGAATGGAGCCAGAGCTTCAGCTGAATAGAAAACTTCTCTCTGGGTCTTGGCCTTTGTTGACGAGTTGTTGTGTTTCCATAAATGGTTTCTGTTACCCTATTGGCTTTAGCCCCTGCGGGCTCAGGGGAGCCCAGGAGCCTGTGTTTGAGGCACAGCCAGGTAGCCACATGCATCCTGCATCCTGAACTGAAAACCAGTGCTTCACTTGGTGAAAGAACACGACAGGTGGTTAGGAATGTGATGAAAGAGGAAGAGCCCACTCCCCTAGGTAGTGTGAACGAAGCTGTTTCTCAGGGATGTAGGGATGCGGTGTTGTGGTTTTGTCTCGTGTCTTGTTTTTCATTAAAAAGCATGGCTGAGTGGGAAGCATGCCTCTGGGCTTTTTTCCCTTCTTGAGATATTCAGTTATTATATGTGAAATTACCCCAGCTGCTGTCACCTACTTTGTTTTGATTTCCTTCAGTCTCCATTTGCTGCCTTTCCTCTTCAGTCCTCCCAGAACTTAGGGCTACACTTCTGTGTGGCTTGACAGTTTTTCTAGATTGGCGGCTGTGTCATACCATTACAGATTTTTACAAGCATGTGTCTACTTTTCTGATCTGAAAGTTTTCTATCATTGTGGTTCTTCTTACAGTATGCTTTTCCTTTCTAAAATATTCTCCAGTTTGAAGTCACAGAATTGTAGTAACCTATGAAAACTCCTATCGTTCATGAATCATCTGAATAAGCCATCTGTCGATGTGGACCCCATTGCCTGAGAGAGCAGACTCATGTGTAGTCCCCCTAATCCAGGACTGTTATTACAGAATCTTGTTTTTAAACACTCATTCTTTGTTTTGTTTTGTTTTAAATTGTGTGGATTTTTTAAAAAATCACAGCAATCATCAGATGTTACAGTTGCACTTACTGGTTTATGCTTTGTTAGTGGCAGAAAGTAGTAACGGTGTGAGAACATTGATGTGTAGCAAGTCAAAAGCTGGATAAGAAAGTGGAAGTTCAGGGACAGCCAGTGATTATCTTTAGCAGCATAATCATTAATTTGTGGAGAGTGATGATCCATTCTTCCATTGGAGTGGCCACAGCAGGTGCGGAGGTAGGAATAAAATTGCCCCTGTTATGTCATTTCAGAGCTCTTTCCCCAGGTGATACCTGAAAGCTTTCTGGTCAGTTTTTCAGGCTCTCAGTGAAGCATCCAGACAATATAAGGCAGCCACAAAGAACAAGGGTCAGCAGACTTCTCTGTAGAGGGCCAGATGGTCAATATACAGTCTCTGTTGTAACTACCTGGCTCTGTTGTTGGAAGGGGGGCGTAAGCAGAGAGTACAAGTGGGCGTGAGGGCCAGTGCTGCAGTGAGACTGTACGGAAGCAGGCTGTGGGCTGGGTGTGGCCTGCGGGACTGCAGTAGACCAACACCCAGAGTAGCAGAATGACATTGATGCACCTGGAAGTGTGTCTTTCTTTGTAGTGAAACTTTGTGAGGAGAGTGTGGTGTAAAAAGGTTCAGGCCGTGGACTCTGGAGCCAGCACGACTGGGTTCAGATCCTGGCTCTGGCACTTGTTAGCTGTATACCCTCCGGCAAGTTCCTTAACCTAGCTCTGCCTCAGTGTCCTCTCCCCCTGTAAAGGTAGTAACAGTGCTTGTCTCACAGGGTTATTATCAGGAATAAATGGATTAATATTTTTAAAGTACTGGCACATAGCAAGTAAACAAAGTACATTTATAAATGAGCATGAGAAGTCTAAGGTATACAATTACATAAAATTAAATTACTTTATTAAGGGACTATGTCTCTTTACATTCTAGTTGACCTAACAATACTGTGAGAGTGTATGTGTCTGAATCATCACCAGCATTGAATATCAGTATTATGGGGGAAAAAAAACCCTTGCCGATAATCTTATTTGCAAAATGCTATTGTATTCTAATGAGTACTTCTTTGGTTACTACTAAGTGTGAATATTTTGTGAATTTTAGCACTTTTTGGTTATTGAGCTCTGTGCACCCATTATGTGGATATTAACTTTGTATAAAGCTCCATGTATTATAATTGGAGTGGATGTTTTCCCCAGAGTACTTCCGACTTCTAACCTTGTATATGTGTGCTTCATATACCATGGCTTCAGTTTTCACGATAAACTTTTTGAAGTTGAAAAGCACTTTCGCCCTAGTTATAAAGTCAGCATCATTTCATTAATATAACTGTGGATACACTGATAAAGCTGTTTGTTCATTTCTTTGTTCCAGTGGGGACTGAGGTAGTAGAGAGTAAAAGGAGGTACAAATCCTGTGGCTTTATTGCCTGGCTTACACAGCATGCAGTCAGGTTAGCTGTAAGAGTAATGCAGGAGGCAGGCCATCTTTCATTCAGACCTTTATGGAGTACCTAGTGTGTGCTAGAAATGGTACCCAAGGCCCAGGGCTAGAGTGAGGATTTCTGTCTGCAGGAACATCACAGCCTTTTGTTAAAATGACACCATTTACTGGGAGGGGAAGGAAAAAAAAAAAAAAGTTAGAGTGGGAGAGAGCCAAAGCATAAGAGACTCCTAAAAACTGAGAACAAACTGAGGGTTGATGGGGGGTGGGAGGGAGGGGAGGGTGGGGGATGGGTATTGAGGAGGGCACCTTTTGGGATGAGCACTGGGTGCTGTATGGAAACCAATTTGACAATAAATTTCATATATTAAAAAAAAAATTACACCATTTACTTAGTGGAAATCAGCTTTACATAAATACCACCGAAAAAATTACCACCCCAACCTGCCCCACAGTTCCCCAAAGAGATCAGTAGGTGGAATCAAATCCCACAGTAGGCCTCCAGGAGAGATGATTAATGTGAATGCGGAGCAAGTGGATGAAAGAGGTGTGCAGTGCAAGAGGGTCATCCCGGATACAGGGGCCATGAAAGGCCAGCGGGTGTCAGGGCATCTGCTTGTCTGTCCCAGCACCTGTCCCCAGCTCAGCTGCCATGTTCCATGCACTGGTGCACGAGAAAATCCTGAGTAGCCCAAGAATGGCTCCAGGGATCCCGGGAAGCAGCGCTCCTGTGAGGGTTGTTCAAGATGGGAGCACACCTTCTCTAAATTCCTGCAAGGGATGTGGGAGAGGAGAGGAGTAAAGGGCTCCCTCCCATTTGAGTATAGAGCCATGTGTACAGCATGCTAGTGTTTTCTGATTTATCTTCACAACTTGTGGAAATTATTACTCCCATTTCACAAATGATGAAACTGATTTCAGAATGTCACAAAGTCAGGAACTACTAAAACTTGAACCCAGATCTGCCTGCCTTCAAAGCTGTGTTTTTTCCAGTGACCTATCTGCCTCTGTCTGCCTTTATTCCTGCAGTGGGGGCATCTAGGTTTGAAATTTTTTTCAAGTATTATAATTGTTGGATATATTATTATGTATGATAGCAATAGGGCTGTGCTGGTATTTGGAAACAAATTTTGAAAATGCAGAGCTTGATAAATGTGGGTGATACAATGCACAGGGAGAAGGGGCAGTCTGGTGACTTCACAAAAGATTAAGTTCAGTGAAAATTCCCTTGTCTTTTATTTTTCTCTCCTAAAACAGGACACTCCTGGGTTCATTGTGAACCGTCTCCTGGTGCCATACCTCATGGAAGCGATCAGGCTGCATGAACGAGGTAGCTGTCCTAACGCAGGCTGGGGGCACCTGCTCACTGGGAGTGCTCAAGCAGGCCCTGTAGGAAAGGCTGGGCCACACACAGTGTGGGAGGAGCCTCTGTTTTTTAGCTTTGTGAACCAGCCTCACCCTGGACCCTAGGACCTTTGTCATAGTGTTCCCTGGGCCTCCTGGGTTCCCTCTGAGGCCTCTGAGCCTCTGAGATGTGGCCCTGGAACTGACCCCCACCCCTTACAGTCTCAGCCAGAGCAAGTGTGTGGCCAGCCTGGATTTATATCCTAAATCTCTGCTTTTGATGAAACGGTTTCCTGCTTATAATAATAATAATACTGTAAAAATCACTGGGCTAGGGGACCTTTAAAGTTCCTTAAAGTTCTAAAATTTGTGACAGTGTGACAGGTGGTGGGAGGTAAGTGACAACGACTGTTTATAAGAACCTTCCCATCCTTAGTAAATGATGCCGCAATGCATTTTTTTTTTAAAAAACCTTAAGAATGGTCTAAAATGCTTTTCTCAATACTTGTTGATTGACAAAGAATGATTTCCCCTGTTTGAGAAATATAAAACTCAGGGGCGCCTGGGTGGCGCAGTCGGTTAAGCGTCCGACTTCAGCCAGGTCACGATCTCGCGGTCCGTGAGTTCGAGCCCCGCGTCGGGCTCTGGGCTGATGGCTCAGAGCCTGGAGCCTGTTTCCAATTCTGTGTCTCCCTCTCTCTGTGCCCCTCCCCCGTTCATGCTCTGTCTCTCTCTGTCCCAAAAATAAAAAACGTTGGAAAAAAAAAAAAAAAGAAATATAAAACTCAGGACATAGTCCAAGGTTATAAAATGGCATTCAGCCTCCTGCCTAGCTTCTCCACCACATTTCTGGAGAGGTAACAATCATGTCTGCTTCTGAGGCAAATAGGCCTTAATAGGACTGGATAAAAAGCAAGTGTAATTGTTTTCAGTTACTTCATTCACAAATGCTCACTCTTTGAGAATGTCATTTTTGAAACAAAATATTTACACCAGCTCTTCCAGAGAGATGAAAGCACATTTGCTTCCTCAAAATCTGCTTTAAATATTAAAACTTTTCTCTGTTTTATGGAAGCATTTGCCACACTTGCTCCAAGATCAAACCAACACTTCTGTGTTTATCTATCAACAAATATGCCTAATTACACCTCAAAGAATGCGTGAAGTGTTTTACCCTACTTTGAAAGGCAGTTTTTTTTTTTTTTAATGTAATGTTTTAGAATGTAGCATGTGGGTAATCTACCTCTTAATGGGTTTTGTTTTTTTTTCCCCACCAAAACATACTGTCACTTTGATATATTTTCAGATATACCTTGTATCTGATTGTAAGTTGAGAGGCATTTTCTGGTCTTTGCTCACCTCACACTGGCAGTGGGCCCTGTGACCCTCCCTATCACATGCCACCTGTGAGGTGAAGCCGGAGAGGGGTCCGACCCCAGGGGAATATGTTCTTAGACTGCCCTTGGTGCTGCCCACAGCAGCCCAGCACTGCTCGCCCCTTTGCCCCATTCCCCACGGCGCTGCTTGGGGCCTGTGAGCCAGAGCAGCTGGGGTCACGTCTGGGGTCATGTCTGGGGTCCATGTGTCACACACCTCAGGCTCCTTACCATGTCCCCGTGCCCCACGCTGCTGCCCCCTCTTCTGGTGCACTGAGCAGGGTGCTTAGCTGCCACCCCCCACCGTGTCTCCGTGTGCCCGCACAGTGCACTGAGCAGCTGGCTGGACTGCATCACTTCTACTTTGAAACCTGAAGCTGTCTTGGATTCTTCTTCTCTCGTCTGTCACGATGATACTCATTTGTCATGTTGTCCAGGAGGGTGAGGAGACGCTGCATGCCGGACCTGCCCCCACATAGCCGGGGGAGTGTCAGCGTCCAGCAGCAGAGTCGTGCAGTGAAGACACTCGTGACTTTGTTTAGCCCGGCCTTTTGCAAACCTCTCTGGGGAGAGTTTCTCTGTACAACACCGTCCTAGTCATTTGGGGCTCCCGTATCACAAATACCACAGACTGGGTGGCATATAAACAACAGACGTTTATTTCTCACAGTTGTGGAGGCTGGAAGTCCAAGGCCAGGGTTCCAGATGGTGAGGTTCTGGTGAGGGCCCTTCCCTGGGCTACATGCTGCTGACTTCTCGTTGTATTTTCACGTGGTGGGGAGCAGGAAGAGGAAACCAGCTCTCCTGACTTTCACAGGCTCTCATGCCATCCTCGGGCTCCACCCTCATGACCTCACCTAATCCTGATCACCTCCCAGAGGCCCACCTCTGTTACTATCACGTCAGGGGCTGGGTTTCCACATGTGAATTCTGGGGGACACTCACATTTGGTCCATGATAAATACCACCGACCTGGGGTATGTGTGCTACGCCACAGCGGTAGGGGCCCGTCAGGAGGATGTGTTGGCATTAGAGCAGAGTCACCACTCGGGCCTCCGGGGCAACTGAGCAGCTCTTGGAATGCTGGGGGCCCTGCACCCATACTTCTCGCCAGCTCCCCGTGACCTCTAGAAGCACTTCACTGTCCCCTCACCACTGCTGATGTGCTCAGCCTCCTGGCTGCTTCTTTGGGCCTTCTTTCTCGGTCCTTTGGCTTCTGTCCTCTGTGTGGCTCCCATTTGCTCACACTGTAGCTGAGGCCTGGTTGGTGTAGTCGGTCACCTTGTCCCTGTGGGCCAGGGCTTTCTCTCTAGATCTTTGAGCAGTCTGGCACCCAGGAGCAGACAGTCATACCTGTCAAATGCCCACTCCTACAGGTCCCAGGTAGCTCTGGCAGGGTGCTGGGGCCAGATGGTTAGCTCCTCTGGGAAGGCAGTGCTGGTGGCAGGCCCTGGGAAGCCCTAGCCTTCACCAGTCCTAGCCGGTCACCATGTGACATCCTGCTCACTGCTTTTCCTCTGCTCAAGACTTACTCAGTGTTTCTGTTGTAGACTACTAAATATATATAGTTCCCTTGCCAGGAAACCTGCTCTCACCTCCTCCTCTGCCCCTGCTGTCCTCACCATGTACGTGACTCCCACGTTCCATCAGAAGGTCCCATCCTCACTGCTCCAAGCTGGACACAACCTGTGTTTCTTTAACTCTTCTTACCCTTTGGCTCTCCCTCGGGGTGGTTGCTGTTCTCTTCCCTGTAGCAGGGCACATGTCTTCCTTTGTTGCTACCCTCTTTTTTGCTGCAGTACAGCAGTATCTGGGATGTTCCTCATCTTCATAGGCCCCAAAGTGCTTGTATAGGACAGGCACTTAGGTGGCTGTTGATGAAGAGAGGAATGGCGGCTGTGTGGGATTTCTGATCCTGGGTGCTGCTCCGCACCCC